TTCATAACAGTAAAAAAAGAAAGCAAAACAACTGTACACACAGGTCCCGGGCTCAAACTCAGCTGTTTCATAACAGTAAAAAAAGAAAGCAAAACGACTGTTCATGCTTTGTTTGGGCAAGAAGTTACCAAGAACAAAATAACAGAAACTTGATATACAGCAGATAATTCGGGCAGGTTGCGGGTTCAAATCCCGCAATCCCCAACGCATCTGATTTGCAGACACTCTCTTATTTGTTCTCCATTGCAGCCATGACATTCTCATCACACTGTTAGACACACAACAAGGAAACGACCTCAACAGTCCCAAACAAGAGGTTTGAATCAGCTGAAGCACTGAAGCACCATAGTAACAGTGCTGGCAGATGTGATTTGAATGCATTTCCTTACTTGTGCTCATTTGCTGTGATGACATTCCAATCACACTCCTATCCTCACGCAAGGAATCCACCTCACACGTCTCGTCCAATTTATACATTTGAATCACCTCAACCATTGTTTTGGAGCAGGGTCAGTATGCTGTCTAAATTGCATGGGGCAGTAGATGCAGAAGAATAGAACACCGAGGGGCTACCTTGAGAGCCATGTCATCAATTCCCTTTGTCGTCAAGATGACGTTGGCACCAGCCTTGAGAATCATTTCAATACGCTCCTTCGTGATGTCCGCTTCCCTACAAAAGTAACCAATTGCCACAAGCCAAACGACGCATCGCTGAGGTGAAAAGATCACACTGACAAATACGACTGTGCATCCCAGGACCACTATTCCACGCTCCAATATGAATGCACCATCTCACATCCATATCCACATTCCAGAGTGCCTGCACTCGCCCACACCCAACATTTTGAATCTCCAATGCAACAACGCATTTTGTTGACATCCTTTGCCTTGTCATGGTATGGTATGGATGTGGCCTAATGAAACCAAAATAACACCAGCCACCGTATTCCTTTTCCCTTCTCTGTTTCACACCGCACACACCTTGATTGTAGTGCCAGTATTACCACACATTGCTGGCATTCTCACTCTGTTCTCAACTGAAGGAACATACCCAGCATACCCAGCATTCTCAATCTGTTGCGAAGTAAAGGAACGTGCCTGATCAAAGACTGCGAATTCAGTTTTCGCGTTCTGGCACACACAAGGTGAACCTGCTGCATGCCTTCGACAACGCCTGCTGGGGCGAGATAAAAACTCTCTCTTATGAATCGCCGGAAGGTACCCTATACCAACTGGCCTATCTCAGTTGGTACACCCATGAACTGTTGAAATACAGACGTGAGTTTGAATTCCAACGGCAATAGAACAGTCAACATAATTCTGAATTTACCCGTAGCCAGTCCGTTTAAAGATGATATCTCGAGGTCGTCGCCCTTTAAAAAAGGAGAACCCAATCGCATTGAGAATGAGAACATAGTATAATGAGAGAATGTGGGTGGGATAAGGACCAGAGGATGACAACGAAGGATTTCGAGAACCGTGAGTGCGGTTGGAGGAGATGATGCATTTCACTTTAAGATTTTTTTTTTTTTTCGTAGGTTATTCAGATCTTCTTTCACGTATATGAGTGTTTTGTGTTCAATTACAGAGACTAACCAACTTCTAGGAACCCCCTTAATGAACCTTTGCCACCCTATTACAGTGTTACCTTCCTTCTCCTCCTTTTTCCTCTCCTTTTACCCTGTGTCCCCACTTCTCTTCCTTGTCCTTTTCCTTGTCATCTTCCATTTTGTCCTGCTGAAGGCGGGGCTACATTCCGACTGGAATGAGACGTGCTCGCGACGAAGATTATATCCATGCCCATAATCACCCATTACAAATACCGCTGAAAGAACGACTGGGCACCATGAATACTGGTTTTTTGCCTAGTGTTCAATGCACACAGTCCTTTTCCTCGTCATCTTCCATCTTGTCCTGCTGAAGGTGGCCGCATTCCAACCGGAATGAGACGTGCTAGGTGACGAGCATTATAGTCATGCCCATAATCGGCTATTATGAATACTGTTGAAAGAACGACTGGGCAGCATAAATACTGGTTTTTTGCCTGGCGTCAGGGTTGCACCGGCGCCGACCGCCGACCCCGACCGCCGACCGTTTTGTCCCAACCGATCGGGGCCGACCGGTCGGCGGTCCGCCGACCAGTCAGAAAAAAGGCATCCGCAGCTTTTTTCTTCTTCTGATTGCGCAGCCTTACGGCGCTTGCTGAGTACAGCCCATATCCGCAGAGAAACTTTTTGGGATGGGGGAGGGGTATGGGGGGCTGGGGTTGGAGCATACCTGCGGCGCAAGTGTGCTGGTCACCGATGCGCAAAAAAACAAAAAATACAAAAATACAAAAAAAAGAAAAAACGGCCGTTATGTGTGAGAAAACGCAAAAGAGAGAGAGAGAGAGAGAGAGTGAGGGGGCAAAATGTAGACAAATAGCTCCTTAATATTTATTTCAAACCCCCTACGGGTTATCCGGAGGGCCCTGCACACAATCAGTGAAGGCCACGTTGCCATGAACGAGGTAGTCGTCATAGCCATGCTGAAGTCATATGGCACGCCAAGTATATACGCTGTTGATTCACTTTAAGGTCCGTGTTTCAGCAGTTATGGGACCACTGAGCACGTGAGTTTCTGGGCAGTAGCAGGGCAATTCACCACGTGCTTTTCAGGGCTTCCCTCCATGACAAATGTGCAAAACTAGAATGAATCTTCTGCTAGGACATGGAACCGTACGCTGCCATATGTTTTGTCTTTTGTGCAAGTGGTGACAAGTGAAGCAAGGCCCTTAGGGCCACTTGTCGTAGGAAAAGGAAACAAAAGAAAGAGAGGAATGAATCTTCTGCTAGAACATGGAACCATACGCCGCCATATGTTTTGTCTTTTGTGCTGGTGACGAGTGGAGCAAGGCCCTTAGGGCCACTGCTCGTAGGAAAAAGAAACAAAAGAAAGAGAGAGCTACGGCAGTAAGTAGTTGTAACTTGTAACCCATAACTGCTCGAAAGCAGACCTGACTTCGGATCCAGAACATATATTGCTGGCCTGCTCCTCTTTCATACGAAATTTGCTGAATATCTCTTGAGATATTGGGACCCTTGCATATGTACTGCTGGGATCCTCCGCGAAAAAGACTATTCAACAAGGAATACATGGGGCCTATTTTTTTTCTGTGGGGAGGTGCACCATTGGCCACCTCAGCCAGCCTTCTCCAAAAAAAAAAATTATACCCTATTTATTGGGGTGCGTCGCATCACGTGCGTGTGCATGCTTACACGTGCGTTATGCGCCGCACCTGCAGAGCTCGTGCGCACGCGATACGCCGCAGGTATGGATTTAGAGTATAGGCGGAGTATAGGGGTGATATAGGGGACATTGGGGGGTTCAATAAGGATGTTGGCGGCGGTTCGGGAGTGTTAGGTTGGTGTATGCAGGTATTGGGGGCCGCTATGGGGTGTGGGTGGGGTTATTAGGGGTTCTGGATCCCAAAAACAAAAACAAAAAAAAGTGCGGGGTGCCGATGATCCCCGACTGCTAGGTGCCGACCAGCCGACCGGTCGGCGCATCGGCAGCCGACCAGTCAAGGGCTGCCGACCGTCGGGGTGTGCAACACTGCCTGGCGTTCAACTCACACCCATACCCGAAAAAAACAGGAAAGCAGTACATCATGACGAAAAACTGGCAGATGGGTAGATGTACCTCTCACGGATCCTTTCAAGCTCTCTAGGATCATTCACCAGCACCTGCACGCCCATCTGCATCTTGGTCTTCTGCAAATTGAAGTCCAAGCACGCTACTCTTGCAGGAGACACGCGCTTCACCATCCCTTGAGCTGCTCTTGTCGTGTTCAGGGCATATCCATTAAGCAGCATGCTGTCTTTCGCACCCTTGCCATGTGCTTTCAGAATGTTGATCGACTGAACAACATAAAACAGAAGGTGTACATAGGACAAATGCATCTTAGCCACACCAGGCTTCATCCTGCTCTCAAGATCCAACCAAACACAGCCACTTGGTGCACACCCAAGCCACTGCCTCTCTCTCTCTCTCTCTCTCTCTCTCTCTCATAAAGACAAATACGCAGACAATAGAGGTATATCCCATCCACATCCCATTTGACATGTCACATCCTCTTCATGTGTGTGTGCAACCACCCTTGCTTGCAGGTTTGTACGTACACATATCCATTTACAGATTTCCCTTCGAGAACTGCGCTGCAACAAACAACAGTTCCAGATAAACTCTGGTTTGCGGGTCCATTACTTGGCAGCGACTTCCCAAAGCCACCAGAAATACGTCACTATATTTGAGAATAGCTGTGCAAATGAACCAACCTTGATAGGATACTTCACTTCCCCCCTCTCGTTCAGCGCCTTCACGCTCTGTACAGCATCCACAGCCTGCAAGAGACATGGGACCAAGCAACCCAGTCAGCAAAGAAGAAGTTGGAGCACTCAAGCAAAGCTGCAAACAATAAGAGAACTGGAGAAAGCAACACATCAACGTGAAAAAGTTTCCATGCCACCTGCCCCACAAACTGGGACACTGCTTTCAAACTCGCAGTGTCCAAATGTCATATCCAGCAACCAAGAGACCCAGAGTGACAAGCAAGAACCGCTACGCTATGGTAGTATGGACCACGTAGAACCCGAGGACAGCATTCATGCCTCTCATACTGGAGACCATCAGACATCTGGAAGAGGCCCCCTGAACCAGCAAACTTGAGAATTTCCTCTTGTTCGCCGCCCTCCAATTTGCTGTAACAAATCATTCAGGAGGCCTCAAAATAGATGTGCATATCAGCAACAGGCACAAGCTACATCCATGAGAAACATAGGGTGGCCAAGTAACCTCCATTCCCTCCTTTCATGACTGTGACTGCGAAAGCATAAGCCTTTCATGACTGTGAAAGCAGAAACCTGGCAGGCTGGCTGGAATATTGATTCCCTTCCCTAGTATAGGTACACAAGAATCACTTTGCTGCCATTCAGTGCCCTCCAGGGCGCCCATGTGCTTCTCTTATTAGCACAGTGGAGGGAAGCGGTGAGCAGAACAGGCTGCAGTGACATGTGACAAGGCACTCCGCGATTCTCAAAAGCGTGCACAAATCACATGAGTATGACTGCACAGACACATACACATGCGCACACTCCACCTCCCCCCCACCCACCCAAGCACACACACAAACACAGAGAACAGAAGATGGAGAAAGAGGGGCTGGACAAACTAGACTAGCCCGGATGCCGTTGAGCAGGATGAGGAACAGCAGCACACAGTGAAGGCCTAAAAACAAGGATGAAGAGGAATACCCTTCCGTTTAGAGATGAGATGGATCTGCCAAGACTCTATGAACACCCTCTGCCAAACACTGGTCAAACTTCGGTGAACATCGCTTCAGTCAACGCCTGACCAATGTGGTCTGACTCTGCAGTTGCAGTCCTACGGTTTAGGGAGAACACCCCAGCATATCTCACCTCAAACACAAAAACGTAGGCAACCGTCACGAACACCACAAACCAGACACTTCGGCACTCACCATTTTGGCAAAAAAGTCGCTGTCCGTCCCTATGATTTTGGAAGACATGCATGTCTTTGCTACATTGACAAGCACATCTCTGCCCAATTTCTCTGTCTGCAAAACAAAGACCCAAAGCAGGAACATGGCTATGCTCAGTTGCTCCATCAGCAAACTAAAAAGCAGTGCATACCACCTGAAGAATCTGAAGAAGACGTGAGTCAAGCAAGCACACCTTTCCAATATTAGAATGAATTGAACAGGAATAAAAAGCATAACCAGCAAACGCATTGACCCCATATAATGCCCCTCGACCATAATTTACCCTTCACTTCCTCGTTCATTGGCAATAAATCATCAGGCAGTGTACCGAAAACACATTCACCGATGTCTGTCCTACCCTCAATTCCTCACCAGAAAATGCCAACTGAAAGGCATGACGTGATGTCAGACCCTGCACAAAGGTCTTCGATTGATTGCTTTCGCGGAACTTCACAGCCATCCAGGTCGGCCCAGGATTCAGGCTTGTGTTTTGTTTATCTACAGTTACAAATGTGCACACCATTCAGTCGCATGGACTTCTCTCAGTCGCATGGACTTCTCTTTTTTTCACTTAATGATTTGCAAGCCTTTCCTCTACTTTTCCCCCTACCTAAAGACTGCAGTGTAGTTTCCTTAACTGGCCATATCATCTCCTTTGACATACCTCGCTACCGTCTTCACCCGAATAGAACGCCCAGTCATTAGCTTAATCTGGTGCAATTTTCCGTCCAGATACAGCTATAACGACCGGGTGTTCTATTCGGATGAAGACGGTAGCTATATAATTAGCTTAATCTGACCCCAACTGACCTGTAACGTGCAAAACCTCCAAAGACAACAAGTTGTCCTCTTTCATACAACGCTTTTCCTCAATATCGAGAGCTTCTTCTGGATTAAAAAAAAAACAGCTGTTCTTCATTACTTTCCTGAGAGACGCTCGTAGCAAGAATGTCATGCACAGTACTGACAGGTAGGTAGACAAGGACAGAGGTTCGGCGGGAGAGAGGGAGGGAGGGAGGGAGGGAGAGCGTATTGATTGGTGATGGGCTCACCTTCATGCCAAGCTTCTCCTCGATGTATTTGCATGCCTCTCGCATGGCCAACTGCATCGCAAAACAAATTGAGCCTTTGGTCAACAGATATCACGCATTTCCAAGGAAGAGCCTAGACTCTAACATCATTTGTCGTACGTCAGGAGGCGTCACAGACTATAAAGGATGTGCTTTAGTCGAGCTAGTGGTTTTCTTCTGTCAGCAAACACAACACACTTCGAAGTCACACATGAAGTTTGCTTGCTCATTTTCCTCAACATACTAAAAGGCGGGAAAAACAACCGACTCTCTGGCCGTCCATACTACCAGACACAGGCAGTTTGCTACAAAAAGAACACTTCCGGACAAGCAAGGCAATGACATGCGATAAACATGCGGCAAAGAGTCGAAGACCAAAAAAACATAATGGTGGTATGTGGATAAAAAATGTCAGAAACCTCAAAACCCTTACACAGTTTCGCTCTTTTCCGATTTTGCGCGTCACCGTAATTACCGTCCCCCTTACCCAACCAAAAAAAAACAAAAACAGCCCACATTTTTTAATGCAAGGGAAAATGAAGTGGTTTCATTTACATGATTGGGGGTGCATCGACACTCACTCTATACCCGGCAATGATTGAGGTTGGATGAATCTTGTTGCGCACAAGGTCATTCGCTCTCTGCAGACAAAATACAATAACAAAACACATGTTTCACATGAGACCCTCATCTGCCCAGGAAAACAAGTCGATGTGTTAGAGAACATAGCACTGCAAACAATTTATGGCTGACGGTCGTCTTCAAATTCCCAACAGAACCAGAGATCTCAAAAAAAAAAAAACAACAACAACAACAACAACAACAACAACAACATAGAAGAAGTTACCCCTCCAGACCCCTTCAAACACTGTCTCAAACCCACAGGACCCACATTGACCATCAACAAACATTTTGCAACGCACAAAATCCCCTTATAAAAATTTCAAAAAAAAAGACAAATTGTGGTTTACGGATTGTCCAAGTTCAGATCGCCGGTCAGATGTCTAGGTTCGGACATGGTAGCCTAAGTTATAACCCACATAATTCTCCATCCACCGTCTTTATGGGGCATTTCTCCCTTTCCAGATAAAGCTGTCTGAGACCCCTCTCAAAAAGGGCATGCCACATCTTCATCATCAATTTCTTCCCCTCATAACGATTCCCATTTGTCTCAATTTGTCACAAAACCAGGTGATCTACCCATGACGAACAGACTAAAGAGGGTTGAAACCAGAGTATCCGCTACGCACTTCTCTCGACTTTGCACCTTATTAAAAGGTACACATGAACAGCTTTACAGCTCTCCACCTCCATGGACCAGTCACATCCGCACCGAGGACCATCATATCTCCCCTCTCCCTCCTGAATGGCAACTCATATCAAATTGAGTTTCAAACCAAATCGCTTTCCCCGTACATCCAACGACCGAGACTCGTCCATTTCTTTTCTTTTTTGCAAAATGGGTTGGACACTAAGCTTACTGTATTCACTCCAGATTTGAACGCATGATGTGTTCGCTAACAGCTGCCAGATGTGTGTGTACTATTCATTCACCCACAAGGGGACTACAGAGTCCACATTTCATCCACATCCAACATTCCTTCCCAAAACTGACCCCTGTCACAGCAAGAAATTTGTCAAGAATACAGGTGACCGCGATACCCCCTGAGGCCACCCACCCTCTGATACACACAAAATCACTCCCCAACATCACCCGTAGTCGCAAAGGGGGGATTCAATAGCCTACTCACCTTTAGCAGCTCCGCAGCCACCAGAACCACGGACGTTGTTCCATCTCCCACCTCCTTGTCTTGGAGTTCCGCAAGTTCGACAAGAACCTGTCGTGCACATGATGAACCACCACGCACAGATGTGGATGCATCATCATAAGTAATCAATTTCTTTGTTTCTTTTGTTTTCTGGTTTGGTTTGTTGTCATCCTCGCATAACTCGCATAAGTAATCAAGTATAACAGGAGACAAGGTAACAACTGGCAGGGAATCAGAGCAGGCAAAGGAAGATGAAACTAGATAGCACAGAGGAGGAAAGACGACCATAGGAGGGACGAAAGGGGAGGTCTGTACTATAGATGGTAAGTCAGACAGCAGCATCGGCACACCATATGACTGCCAAGGAATAAGAGAACAGAGGGGAGGAGAGAGGTAAGATACACCAAAGGGAAAGAAAAAGAAAAAAACACAGGAGACATGGTAACAATTGGCAGGGAATCAGAGCAGGCAAAGGAAGATGAAACTAGATAGCGCATAGGAGGAAAGACGACCATAGGAGGGACGAAAGGGGAGGTGTGTACTATAGATGGTAAGTCAAACACCAGCATCGGCACACCATATGACTGCCAAGGAATAAGAGAACAGAGGGGAGGAGAGAGGTAAGATACACCAAAGGGAAAACAAAAACAAAAAAAAAAAAAAACAAACAGGAGACAAGGTAACAACCGGCAGGGAATCATAGCAGGCAAAGGAAGATGAAACTAGATAGCGCAGAGGAGGAAAGACGACCAGGGGAGAGATGAAAGGAGAGGTCTGTACTATAGATGGTAAGTCAGAGAGCAGCATCGGCACACCATAAGCCTGCCAAGGAATAAGAGAACAGAGGGGAGGAGAGAGGAAGATACGCCGAAAGAAAAAAAGAAAAAAAAAAAGTGCAAGGGAAATGATTTTAAAAAGTGAGACTGCTGTGGAAATACAACTGCACCTGTGCAGCAGGGTGCTGGACTTCCAGAAGCTTCAGAATAGTGGCTCCATCGTTCGTGATAGTGACATCCCCAATATCGTCCACAAGCATCTGCAGAAATAAATTTGTTCAGCAAAACAGAGAGAAAAGTGAGATTTGCAATCACGTCATAAAACAATAGAAAACAGACAAAAACCGCAGAATGGCACATGCATACACCTGTTTATAAGCCACCAGTTCATGTGGCTGAATGGTATATGCATATGAAATTGTCGACATACAGGTCATGAGTTCGAATCCAGACGGAATCAGATGGATACAACAATCTCAGGGACATGCCCCTTTCAGAAGAGGGGGGGGGGGGGGGGAATAAAAAAAAAAAAAAAAAAAAAAAAAAAAGAAAAAAAAAAAAAAAAAAAAACAGGGAACACCCCCTTAGAGGGGGGGGGGGGGGGGGGGGGGAATTAAAAAAAACAGAAATGACAGAAAAAGCAGTAAAAACTCAAACATCCGTTTGTCAAAAAAAACAGTACCGTAAAATCTGTCAGAAAACGGTGCCACGGCAGTACACTGCTGATTACATGAACCGATGAGCTCGGTACATCGATTGATAATTACACGATTCAGTACTTGGGCAGGTTGATGAAACACAGTCCATAGTCCACGACATCATGCCTTCAGATCATAGATTTAATAAACTGATACACAGACAGTGGGGTGACATCTATATGAACAGAAGGGTCACAGGAACTACCAACTCCGGAGGCTGTCTTGCTCACTGAGCTACCGTCTTCCTTCCTCCAAATAGAACGTACTATCATTGTATCCGTATTTTTTGGCCCAACGTTCAGTCCATATGCAGCAAAAATGACGTTCGGTGTTCTATTCGGGTGAAGACGGGGTCATTGTATCCGTATTTTTTGCCCGATTTTCAGTCCAGATGCAGCAAAAGGACGACGGTAGGTTCTATTCGAGGTGACAATGGTAGTATTTGCTTTTAGTCAGCTTCTCAGGTTCTTCCTTTTACTTTTGCTTGAGATGTTGCTGGAGGCCTGACAAACCTTCGACTGTCTTTTTATTCCAATGGCACTCTACGTTATCCTTCTCTCTGCAACGAGTTGGAATTCCTTCTTATGTTTTCACATGTTCGATGTTGTCCAGCATTCTCCTCTTCCAGGCCTGACAAAACCTCCCAACATCCTCTTCCCTTCCAGTGTCCTGGGCTACCTAAGACATTGTCAATGGAAGAGATAGACAATTCACAAACAAATTGCGGCAGAATCTTACGGAACTCGCCAAATCTCAATACCAGTTCGCCATACCACTGAAACAGTGACCACCATGCAGAGAGAAATGGACACACGACCGTCAAGAAGATCCTTCAACATCTGAAACAGCCCGATCAGACTTACGCTACACTTGGGCAAGGTAGCTGGTGTTCACAACGGCTGTGCATATACCAGCAGAGCTGCATCTGAAACAGCCCGATCAGACTTACGACCATGCAGAGAGAAATGGACACACGACCATGCAGAGAGAAATGGACACACGACCATGCAGAGAGAAATGGACACACGACCATGCAGAGAGAAATGGACACACGACCGTCGAGAAGGTCCTGTAACCATGCATATACCAGCAGAGCTGCATCGAGGATGGAATTGTTGGGGCAGCGGGATTTGACCCGCAGGTCTGCTCCGAGTTCTGTTGAATTCTAAGTTCTGCTGGTTTTTGTTCTCCACAGGGCTCGAACTTGTAACCTCACACACACAAGGAGAGAGTATAACTGTTGAGCTTTTTGCGAGTTTAACAGTTTTGAAGCTTGTGAGTTTTGAACCGAGGACCTCTTCGAGGAATCTCTCTTGGCTAAAGCTTATATATACAGTAGGCCCATCCGTACCTATTGTTCTGCAGTTTCCAGTAGGCAAACTCGGTAGGCCTATAGGGAAGCAGCTCGTCAAAAGCGACGAGCTGGGCAGTAGAAGGGGTGACAAAATGTCATTCTGCACGTCTGCAGGGAGTAGAAGAAGGAGCAGTGTTATTTCTAGGGCTGATAGCAAGAACAGTGGGGCCAGCCATCGCCAAGCAGATCTGGCTGTCTCCTGCATCACTTTCTGTTGTGACTGATGCTGTGTGCTTAGGGCAGTGGCGCTGAGTATGGACGTACGAACTTCTGCGACATATGAAACAGCCAAGCCAAGAGTGTATGTTTAATTTCGAATTTTCAGCAAGCTCCCGATCAAGTGTGCACGTGTGAAGTACCCTCGTGGATCAGCACCTCAAGTACCCTCGTGGATCGAGGCATGCATGGACGTACCAACTTCTGCGTCATATGAAACACCCATACAAATGTTTGCGACTCCTCAAAGATCGTAACAGGAATCCTTGCATGCCTGTAGATTTTCGGGTCCCAGATCAGCACCTCAAGTACCCTCGTGGAACAACGGAGTTTCCTCAGTGTAGTCCTCCAAAGAGAGTTCCAACAAGCTACCAGGCGTGTTCAGAAGGCACAGCAGGCGATGGAACGCAGGCAGGCAATGGCTGACCAAGCCATCGATCGCTTGGTCAGCCATTGCCTGCGTTCCATCACCAGCTGTGCCTCCTGAACACGCCTGGTAGGCCTAATTTCGATCTTCAAGGAGGGAGACCTGGTATGGTAAGCATGAACAAATTTGACGTTTGGCGAAGTCGGCAAAGGTGTGCCCAGAAGACTGGAACCTAACTGTTGTGGACCATGAGAGATGTTGCGTGTTGGTGGATGGGGACCCGTATGGACCTCCTCAACTTGTGTTGACATTCCTCCACACCACGAGACTTACCCTGTATTTCGCACCGTCAAACTGATGCCTTGCACGGCATCAGAAATCGGAAGGAAGTTTTTTTTTTTTTTTTTTTTTTTTTTTGGATCAGATATTAAACTTATCAGAACAGATACTACACTTGATCTTTGCCAAAAAGCCGAGAAAGGTTAACCCATGGATGTGTCGGGCTTTCTAAACCGGTAAGAATCTAGAGTTCTGCAAGGACAGGCCAGGTAGGCCTACCGTCTTCCCCCGAACATAACGCACCCTAAAAATGAATATATAGAAGCTATATTTGCGGCCAGATGCAGCCAAAATAAGGGTACGTTGCGTTCGGGGGAGGACGGTAGGGTATCATCGAAAGTGACGAGAAGTGAACACCACTAACTCTTTCTTTCCTCAAGTTTTGCTGCTGGGCGGAGCTAGGTGCGCTAAATTTAGCCCTGGGAAGGAAAAGATTGAACGCAGCCGTAGGGCCAGGGAGATGAGATCTTGCGGTTCACTGGGAGGGTTTTCAGATCCGTTTTCAAATTGCTCTCAGAGAGAGCAGCAACGCGCCCAGCCCAGTTCTATATCGATTTCTCCTGATTTTATTAACTCTTTCGTTGCGAGTGTACAACTCCTGTTTCGACTGAAAATCCAACCAAGCTTGATACGAGCAGGTTGAAAGTACGACGAAGGTTGAGAAAGTATTTGCACTTCCTGAAATTCCTAAACGAAAAAAAATTGGGGCAGAAACTGGATGGTGGGCGGAAAGATAACAAGAGAGGACACAAGCAGACGTGAGTCGATAACTTGACGATAAGAAAATGTACACAGGAGAAAGGAGAAAAAAAAATGCGATAAACACCAAGGTGCAAGGGGGCTAGCTAAATTGGTACACCCAACGAACTGTTGAAATACAGACCCAAGTTCGAATCCAGATGCAATCAGAGAATAAAATACTTTTGAATTACCTGGGGCCAATCAGTTCAGTGATGATATCTCTGAAGGCCATCGCCTTTCAAAAAAAAAAAAAAACAGAACGAAAGGAGCTAACGAAGGAGGACAAGACGAAAAAGGGGGTTTAGGTACACACCCAGCTAACGGTTGAAATACAGACCACCAAGTCCGAATCCAGACGCAATCAGAGAATAAAATCATTCTCAACTACCGGCGGCCAATCAGTTCAATGATGATATCTCAAGACCGTCGCCCTTTGGGGCGGGGAGGGGGCGGCGAGGGAAAGGGGGGGGGGGGGGGGGGGGGGGGGGGGGGGGGGGGGGGGGGGGGAGGAGAAGGAAAAAAACAATAAACAGAGAGGACGAAAGGAGATATCGAGAGAAGGAAGAGAGAAAACACGAGAAGCTAACGAATGACAAGACGAAAACGGAGTTCAAGGAAAAGGGACAGCAACGAAGGTAGGAATCAATGGATGGTAAAAGAAGGCCAAGCGAGAGGGAGGGAGGGAGGGAGGAGCCAGAGAAGTAAGGAAAGAAAGAGGAAGGGGCCGGCAGGATAGGGGGTGAATAAATAGGGATGCGGATTTGGACCCTTTACCTTATCGAGACCCACAGGGCCTAAAGAGCTCTTAACTATATTCGCTATGGCTTGAACCGCAGTGACTGAAAAAATTCCAAAACAACGGGAGAGAGAAAGGGAAGGGGAGCAACCAGGAAGCCAAGAACAAACAGAAGGTAAGTGGCAACGACCAGGTACGGCAAGCCAAATAAACCAACGGTCAAAAAATATAAAAAATTGAACAGAAAGTCTTCTTCAAGTTCACAATTTTAAATGAGAACAAAAAAGAATTCCATCCATCCATCCATCCATCCAACCCACTTACAAACATTCAAGTTTTTTTCGTAGACGTCGGCCGAAATACGATAACATAAAAATTCACGACGACCGGTCATAATTCGAAATCCAACAGTAAGAGGGGGCGACGTAAGCTGCCATGCTGGAATCCCCACAGGCAGAGATGCCGTGCACTACAGTCTGAAGTGAGGGAAAAAAAAAAAAAAAAAAAAAAAACAAGCCATTCAAGTGTGATGATCAAATGCACACTTTTTTTCTAACACTTCTTTTTCTAAATTTATTTACTCCCTTTAATACGTAATAAGCAACAATTATTACCTCCTAAAGTATGGAAGGAAATGCGGACACGATTTGAGGTCTCAAACTGTGAATCGACGGTTCTGGTAGAGTGTGTACCATTTCGCCCACTAGGGAAATTGACGACTTCACCAAACTCGGACAAGAAGTGCGATAAAGATACATTCAATGCATCTACCCTCAATTTCAGCATATTTCTGGATCTAATGAAACAGGCAGACTTCGACTACAAAAGGCAATTTTCTTTTCGGTTCTGATCTGTACAACCTTGTCAAAAGCTCTTTGTCGATGAAATCTTGGGTCCATTTTTTTTATGATGTTGTCAAAAGCTCTCTGTCGATGAAATCTAGGGTCCGTTTTTTTTATGAGGTAGTCGCAGTCACCTTACCTTGCGCCTCGTTCTTCAAAAGCCCAAAGAAAAGGGGTTAATGCTCCTACATCCATAGCATGGGTGGTTAATGCAAGTAAATGATTTAAGATCCGGGTAATCTCACAAAATAACACTCGTATATATTGATCAGCTGGATAGAGCAACAACCTTCTGAGTTTTAAGGTCACAAGAAAACATTTAGACGTAGCTAACCCGCAGTTAGGGCATGGTGACACTCGTGCCGACTTCCTTGGATTTCCTTGCATGTCTCTGACCGTATTGACGGTAAGGTTCCGTACTAAAAGTTTTCATTTCGCTCAGTAGACTAGAGTATGACCACCGTGGTTTTCATTTCGCTCAGTAGACTCTGGCCTCAGTTGTAAATCCACATTTTTCCCAGATCAGGTGGCCGTTAAGTTTCCTCCCTTACAAATATTGCCCTACTGAGTTCGCGGAATGGCTGGAATTGAATCCCAAGTCCTGCATTTTCAGGATAAATCGGGGGATAACAAAAGCTGCGATCGTGAAAGGATATCTTACATCATCTTCTCGTTGCAAGTGATTAGGGAAAAAAACATCACCGACGCCACAGAAAGAAGCTATCGCGGCTTACACCGAACTCTGGAGATGTTAGGACGCGTTTCATCTGTTGTTGCAAGTAATTAGGGGAAAACGATTTCCACCGACGCCACAGAAAGAAGCTATCGCGGCTTATACCTAACTCTGGAGACGTAAGGACGGCAACGCGAAGAGAGAGATGCAGACAGAAAGAGGCATCGACCGAGAGAGGCAGTGAGAGAGCAGCAGACAGAAACGGGCAAAGAGAGAGAGAGGAGGGGAGAGGGAGAGGAAGAAAGGAAGAGAGGAAGAGAGGAAGAGAGGAAGAGGAAGAGAGGAAGAGAGGAGAGGAAGAGACGAAGAGAGGAAGAGAGGAAGAGGGCGAGAGAGAGGGAGAGATGAAGGGAGGGGGAGAGAGGAAGAGAGATGAAGAGAAGAAGAAAGGAAGAGAAGAAAAGAGAGGAAGAGGGAAAGAGGGAAAAAAGGGGGGCGGAAGAAAGGATAGAGGAGAAGCGAATGAGCAATACGTCAATCGGCGCGCACGACACAGTAGATCGGAAATGATAATGGAAACGAGAAAAGAGTGCTGAGGAGAGAATGAATGGGGACGAGAAAAGACAGTGGAGACCGAGAGTGGTGCTGAGAGAGAGGGCGAAGGCAAGGCGACGACAAACATGGATACGGAGAACACTGATCGCCCGAAGGTCAGACTGTGGACTCGTTCAAAATCACATTTACAAATGCATCGTGACGGTCAGAATCCGCGGAAGGAATCTGACCAAAGCTACAGCCAGATTCATTAAGAAAAGAATGGAGGTGCGGGTACATCCTAGAAGACAAAAAAAAATAGTTTCAAACGTAGGAGAGCAGGGGTCAGCAAAAGAAAATCGAAGAAGGAAACCGATTACCGTCAGTCAGATGAGCAGAAAAAAGCAGAGAACAGGGAGAGAAGAATGACGCTGAGATCGCGTTAGGGATGAGGGAGAAAGGAAGTACAATGGGAGGAAGAGGGAGTAGAGCAAACACAGGAGAAGATGCCCGTGATTAGGGTTAAGAGAACTTTATGACAGAAGAAGACAGAATGCAAGTGACAAGGCTGACACTGGGTTAAAATACTCTTACCTTACTGAAAGATCGAGCGACACAACCAGGATCTAGACAGTCGGTCGTGAAAGATGTCACCCACCAACCAGTTTCAGCTCTCTCTCTCTCTCTCTCTCTCTCTCTCTCTCTCTCTCTCTCTCTCTCTCTCTCKCTCTCTCTCTCTCKCTCYMTSYC